AATGATGGTGAAGTCACTGCTACTAGGGATTCCCTATCCTTCCAGGCTTTCAACAGATTCACATGATAAATCTGTTCTGGCTTTCGCCTTCCTGGTTGTCTGACCCTATAATTCACTTTGCTCACTTTTTCAATGAACTCATAGGAGCCATTTGACAAGGAATTTACTTTCGACCGTGGGGATCAATACCAGCACCCTATCACCCGGAGAAAATGTATGAGTCTGGGCCCCACGATTGTAAATCCTCTGCTGTGCCAACTGCGCTTGGGCCAAATGTTCTTATATGATTGGCATTATCTGCGCAATTCTATCTTGCATCTCTGCAACATGCTCAATCACACTCCGGTGAGGAGAACTCTCACTTTTCCAAGTTTCTTTGGTAATATCCAATAACCCCCTTGTATGTCTCCCATACAATAATTCAAAGGGAAAAAACATTGTAGAAGATTGCGGAAACACCCTGATGGCAAACATCAAATAGGGTATTAGACAATCCCAGTTCCTTCCATCCTTGTCCACCACCTTCCTTAACATTTGTTTTAAGGTTTTGTTGAATCTTTCAACCAACCCATAGGTTTGGGGATGATACACTGAGGTACTTAATTGTGTATCTTTAAATAACTTACACAGCTCTTTCATAACCCGAGACATAAATGGGGTACCTTGGTCTGTAAGCACTTCCTTACAAGGCCCACTCGGCTAAAAATCTGAAACAGTTAATTGGCTATTGTTTTGGCCAAGGTATTTCAGAGAGGAATTGCTTCCGGTTAACAGGTGGCATAGTCCAGTATAACTAAAATATACTGATGCCCCCTAGCCAACTTAATCAAGGGACCAACCTAATCCATTGCAATTCTCTCGAAAGGGACTTCAATAATGGGGAGAGGAACCAGCGGGTTATGGAAATGTGGCAATGGTGCTGCTTTCTGACACACTGGACAGAAAGAACAGTAATTTTCTATCTCCATAAGGACCCAGGCCAATAGAATCGTTGCAGTAATCTCTCTAGTTTTTTCTGCCCCTAAATGACCTCCAAGAATGTGCCCATGGGCCAACTCCAACAGCAACTTCCGATAAGGTTTGGGCACCAAAGTTGTTCAATGGTTTCCTCTGCCCTTTGCGCAACTTAATATAACAGATCCTTTTCCATAATGAAGTATGGTGAAGCAACCCTCTCATCTGGGTTCACTAGTTTCCCCATGTACCTGCACCACATTCTCCCTCGCTCTCATCAGCGTGGGGTCTTTTAACTGTTCAGTTGCAAAATTTTCTCTGTGTACCTCTAAATCAGAGAATTCAACAGAGGGTAGGTTTTCATCTGAGGATGCAGGCTCCTCCCCTGCTAAAACAGACAAGGGGAACTTGGGAGAGTCCTCAACACTCTCAGATGTTCCCAAAATTTTGGAAAATCCCTCCCCACAATGGCATCATATGATAAATGAGACCTAACTTCACCTGATGACACAGGTTACCTTTGGAGGTCTCAAACGACACTGTTGTCACAAGATACTCTATTGTGTCCCCATGCACACAAATTACGACCACTTTTTTTATGCCCAGAGACCGCTGTAATCACTAATTCAGCTTTAACCAATGTTAGAAGACTACCTGAATCCAGCAACACAACATTACTGCCATTAAGACACATTTTGCATAAATGTTTTTCATTTCCCCATATTGCAGTGCATGCAATGGTCGCAAACAGCGACTGATGTCTGTCCCTTAGAAAGTCACATTGCATGGGTTCATCCACCACACAGCAATTTGCTGCAATATGTTCCTCTTGCAGGTAGCGGTAACAAATGATCTTTTTAGCTGCCTCTTGCAGCCTTGACCTCCCAGGCTGCGCTCACCAAACATTGGGAACATTTCCCCCTTCTCACTCTCTCCATCCTCACCTCTTGGTACCATCTTACCCACCTCTGGGGATGGTCTGGTCTTAGGGTTGAAGTCCATGAGTCCCTGGGATGGGAGGTCAGATTCTCCGTGGCTAGGTACCTCTCAACCAGATCCACAAGCTTGTCAGCTGTTTTCAGATCTCCATGGTTCACTCACTTTTGTATTGTGGTAGGGAGGGATCTCAGGAACTGATCCATGACCACACGTTCCACAATCTTTGGTGCGGTCAAAGTCTCTGGCTGCAGCTACTTTCTGGCCAAGTGGATCAGATCATACATCTGTGACCTGGGGGGTTTCCCAAGCCCAGTCCAGTTATGCACACGCTGAGCCTGGACAGCCAGGGTTACACCCAGCCGTGCCAATATTTCGGCTTTAAGCAAGTCATAGTCCTTTGCTTGCCCAGGCTCCGGATCAAAATAAGCTTTCTGGGATTCTCCAGCTAATAATGGGGCCACCAGCCCAGCTCACGGCTCTTTAGGCCAACTTTCCCGTTCAGCAGTCCTTTCAAACGTAGTCAAAAACACCTCAGAATCATCATCTACGGTCATTTTTGACAATAAATGACTCTCATGAAATGACGGTTTAATACTGGAACCACTCGCCCCATTGGCCTGCTGGTTCTGTGGACGCTGCTGCATTAGCACCTCAATTTGTTGCTGAAATCGCCGCTCCTGCTGCTGCAACAAGTCTATGTAGCGGGCCTCGGCTTGCTGCTGAGCTTCCAGAGCCTGCTGTTGAGCTTGCTGCTGAGCTTCCAGACTCCTCTGCACTTGTTCACTTGCACGCATTTGCTCAATATTTGCCTGCTGTTGATTGGCGTTTGCCAGAGCAAGCTGTCTCAGTAACTCTTCCATGCTGGCCTTTGCACCACTTGCTTAAAGGTTGCCTACATTCTCCACCAATTGTGAGGGTGTTGGCTCAGCAGCAGGTGTGTGTGACTCCCTGGATGAGGTATATACACTGACCAGCAATGTAACAGAGGTATATACACTGAGTGGCCAGATTATTATGACCACCTCATCAGTACTTCGTTGGGCCGCCTCGTGACTCCACGAGATGTTGAAAGGTGATGCGAGGAATCTGACACTGCACTGTTGCCCTTCTGTTGTCTTGTACCAGTCTTGCCACTCTCCGTTCTGCCCTAACATTGACTAGTCACTGACGGCCACAATTCGCACGTTCAGACCCAGATTTTCGGCTGACAGTCCAGTCTTTAAACACTTTAACAATGAGCCCCTCTTGAACATTTAACGAATTCTGCTGTTTTGCTGATACTCGCTCCATGGCTCCGAGCGCCAACAATCACCCCACGTTCAAAGGCTGTTAAATTGCGTTGTTTCCCCGTATCTTCAGAAAAAAAATCACGTCTACTGTCGTGGTAAACAACCTGCTTCCCTATTTATAATGGTCTGGCCCTCTAGCAGCTTCAGCGCAAAATTATAGCTAATTTGCCTACAAACGTAAGGTGGTCATAATAATCTGGCCACTCAGTGTACACTGACCAGCAATGTAACAGAGGTATATACACTGACCAGCAAGGAGGTGCAAAATTTGCATATCACTCAACCACAATATTTACATATAAATGAGCCACGGCTTATTCATGTGTAAATAGTGCCACCAATTCATATTGTGAGGGTATTAGATAGGTAGCGGGTGTGTGTGACTCCCTGGATAAGCTCACACCACAAAAAATTAGGCACAGCAAACAACGATTCCTTCAGGTGAAAACACATATACAGTTTATTTACACTATTGACAGGGAAAATTTGAGCAAAACAAACAGAACATGAAAAAAAAATCCTTGCTTTTTGGCCACTTGCTACACACACTGAAGGGAATTTATCAGAACTGGAGCAGACAAAAACTGGATCAGCTGTGCATGGCAACCAATCAGCTTCTCTTTTTCATTTTCAAATCCTAACTGAACAAACTGAAGGGAGAAGCTGATAGGTTGCCATGCACAGCTGATCCAGTTTTTGTCTGCTCCAGTTTTGATAAATTCCCCCCATTGTTCCCCTTACTAACAACTAGGTGCAACTAGGGCTGCCACTTTTTCTTCAAGCGAAACCCAAACACTCTTGCGACACACGGACATTTTTTGAGGAGAATGAGCCGTGGCATGTGCATTGAAGTCAATAGCAACGGAGCCATGACCCCCCCTGGGTGACCCCATTGGAGGGGTGACACCAAAATGACTGATGTCATTTTGGTGTCACCCTCTCTGAAAAGTGGAGCACTCGGTCATGGACCGAGAGCCCGACACTGTCAGGAGAGAGGAGGGGACCTGGCGGCATACCTCATTTCGCCGGGTGAACGTCCCCTCCTCTCTCTGCTGGCGTCCACCAAGATTGCTGCCAGCAAGCGTCAATATGATGGCTACGAGGACGTCATCACAAATGCGTGTGGTGATGTCACAATTACGTCACGGCGGGGTGTCACCCGGTCTTGGGATGCCCCTGCCGCTCTGGAACTCACCGCAATTGGTGTGAATGGGCCCTTATGCAAGTCGTGCACATACCCGCACACAGCCATTGACTTCTATGGGATGCAGTGTACGCAGCACCCATGGCTCCCTGGCGGGGGAGATACCCCTCAATTTATGTTGTCCGGCACAGGTGACAGTGTACACAAGCCCTTTTAGATTACAACAGTATTTATTTTGTAAGCGCTTTTAGCGTGCTGTGAACCTGCGTCGTGGCGCACTTAAAACACAATAGTGTGAATGGGTCATTACACGTAAACTCTATATGATGCTTTTTGCAGGAATCACAAAGGACTTTTCTCATGTGTTCACAGAACACAGGTCACAGAAGAGTTACTGGTATAACACAGTGTTACAATGAGCAAGAACAGGACTTATCATGGTCGGGACAGCATAGTAAGACTATACCAGAGCTCCATACAACCTGCTGCAGATTGCAGGGCGCAAGCTCCACATAGCAACCGTTACTAAGCAGTCCTGCTTTTCGGGCACGCGCGTTAGTTTACGTTATGAGGACGTAGCGTCGCGCTCCCGCAAGTACTCCACACTGAGGCAAAGGTTCCTTTATGCGCATGCGCCGCTTCCCAGACAGCTCTAGTGACGTAGCGCGCACGCTTCACTCGGCTCCTCCCAATTTCAGTTGCGTCCTGTCTCCGCCCTGCCCGGCTGTGAATGTGACCGGCAGAGGCTCGCCCGCTCCCCACCTCCTCCACAGCTCCGTCCTCCCCTCCTCCTGTTACCCGGCATCGCTTCGTCACCGCTGGCCTCGTTTTTCAAACAAAAACAGCCCGCAGAGGGGAGAGAGCGGGAGAGGCCGGGGGCAGCGCAGTGCAGGGGGCAATGAGCATGGCATCCAGCTTCGGCAAGATCCAGATAGGAATCCATGTGGAGATCAAGAGGAGCGATGGTGAGTGTGTCCCCTCCTCCCGCCCGGCATCCCCATCCATCCATTCATCCCTCATCCGGGACCCGCCATTGTGTGCTAGACAGCCGGGGAGGGAGGCAGAGCACTGTGGGGACACCGGCCTGTCATCACACCAGGAGAAGATCGTAGGACCAAGGACTGCTGAGAGCAGGCATAGAGGAGAGCTGTCATAGGATGGGGAGAATGGGGTGAAGGGTAGGTTCGGTCGCAGGATGGGGAGAATGGGGTAGGATCTGTCACAGGATGGGGTTTGATGTGTCACAGGATGGGGTGAATGGGGTTTGATCTGACACAGGATGGGGTGAATTGTGTAGAATCTGTCACAGGATGGGGTTTGATCTGTCAAAGGATGGGGTGAATGGGCTTTGATCTGTCACAGGATGGGGTGAATTGGGTAGGATCTGTCACAGGATGGGGTAGGATCTGTCACAGGATGGGGTTTGATCTGTCAAAGGATGGGGTGAATGGGGTAGGATCTGTCACAGGATGGGGTGAATGGGGTAGTATCTGTCACAATATGGGGTGAATGGGGTAGGATTTGTCACAGGATGGGGTGAATGGGGTAGGATTTGTCACAGGATGAGGTGAATGGGGTAGGATTTGTCACAGGATGGGGTGAATGTGGTAGTATCTGTCACGGGATGGGGTGAATGTGGTAGTATCTGTCACGGGATGGGGTGAATGTGGTAGTATCTGTCACGGGATGGGGTGAATGTGGTAGGATCTGTCACGGGATGGGGTGAATGTGGTAGGATCTGTCACGGGATGGGGTAGTATCTGTCACAGGATGGGGTGAATGTGGTAGGATCTGTCATGGGATAGGGTGAATGTGGTAGGATCTGTCACGGGATGGGGTAGTATCTGTCACGGGATGGGGAGAATGGGGTAGGATCTGTCACGGGATGGGGAGAATGGGGTAGGATCTGTCACGGGATGGGGAGAATGGGGTAGGATCTGTCACGGGATGGGGTGAATTGGGGTGATGACGCTGGATCTAGGGGAGAATTGGGGCGATGACGCTGGATCTAGGGGAGAATTGAGGCGATGAGGCGGGATCTGTGGGAGAATTGGGGCGATGAGGCGGGATCTGTGGGGGAATTGGGGCGATGAGGCGGGATCTGTGGGAGAATTGGGGCGATGAGGCGGGATCTGGGGGAGAATTGGGGCGATGAGGCGGGATCTGTGGGAGAATTGGGGCGATGAGGCGGGATCTGTGGGGGAATAGGATCGGGTGATGGCCTGTCAGGAGTCATCTGTGGGAAGGATGCCTGGTAGGACCATATATTATTTGGAGCTCATGCATTGGGATATTGTCTGTGTGGAACCATCTGTAGAAAAGGGGTGCATGGCACAGCATATTAGAGGTTGGAATTACAGGCTAGGCCCTTTTTGAGAAGGGGCAATTGGACTTGGTTTTCTGAAGATGGGTCTACAGATTGGGCCCCGTCAAAGGATCGAGGAGGCAGTGCCTGTCAGCAGAACATTTGATTGATGAAGGCTTATCAGGGAATAGGGCAGCTTGGTTAGAGCCTGTCAGGCAATGGAGTGTCTTGGAATGGAGCTGCCTGAAAACAAGACATCTTGGCCTGCTGGGTTAGACGCTGTTGAAGAATGGGGTCTGCATGGCCAGAACCAATGAAAAAAAAAATGGCTTGGCTAGAGACATACTTTTTTTTAAAGTGATGTAGTGACGGGCAGACTAGGACATGGCAGAGCATGGATGGCGGACTAGTAATGGTCAGAGGAAAGGACCATAGAACTGGAGTTTTGCTGGATGTCTGAAGTTGAAGGGATTGATTAGGTCTTATCCAAGGATTGAATTGTTCAGCAGAACTTGTCAGGTTGGATGATTGGCTGTTTTCGCCGGATGTAATATAAAGACTCTGTTGACTTGTTTCTTGTGTAAAACATTTAACAGGTCTATTCACAAAAGGGTGAAGAGTTTGGAGAAGGCCGGAGAAGGGAACAATGTAGGCCAAAATAACTGATTTGGAAAAATTCTCCAATTCAGCTCACTTTCCGGTTGAGCTATGTTGTCCTAAACGGTTCATGTCTCCGACCTTCTCCAAATCCTTCACCTTTTTGTGAATAACCCTGTAAGTAGTATTTTATTATCATCACCAAAAACGATATAAGTAGAGTAGATAGGCTGACTGTTGTTCTGTGGATATAGCTCTGTGGGAATGTCCTAGAGGACAGGTAAGTATCAGAGACTGAATACATGGTACTGTTGAATGATTGTATATGAGCCATGGGCATGTTGGTTAAGCATTGTTGTGGCCTTTTTATGGTGGGAAATGGGGTGACTACATGCATACGGCCTCAGAATAAGAGCGCCTATGTGCTGTTCAGGTTATGAAGTCTTTGTAACATTTAATGGTGTGGTAATGTATGGGAATGTTATAAAAACACGAGGATATAAATAACGCCGGGAATAGGGTAAAAGCCGGGCTAATGTCAGCGGATGGAGTAAACACCAGATTTGCTGTTGGCAGAGGAGCATGCTGCAGCATCCGTGGCTTGTTCACATCAAGGCCACATTCACACTGAGTGGCATGAAAATCGCGCGATTTTGAGCGATATTGAGCGACTTCTTCCTATTGGGCTGTATGCAATCAGGAGCAATATCGCTCAAAATCGCTCGAAAAAAGGGTCATGTAGGAGCGACAAGCTACCAGCGACGAGCTTTGAGTGATATTGAGCGACGAGATGTGAACAGCTCCATTGAAATGGATTGGAGAAGCTACATAGAGCGATATCGCGCGGAAATATGAGCGATATCGCTGCAAAAATCGCTCGATAAATCGCTCAGTGTGAATGGGGCCCAAATGCGTACCAGATCTGCATGAGTTTCTGCACGTGCAGTGTTTTTCTTGCCGCATTTTGTTGTTGTTGCCTAAAATTGTCTTTCAGTTCCTTATAGGGCGTTTGTATGTGTTTATGATGCGTTTTGGTGCGTTCCAGAGCAAGAAAAAAGGGCATGCTGCAGATTTTCCACATGCTCTGGAACTGAACGCTGTGGTGTGAACTAGAGCCCAAAATACCATTGGATGCATTTTTGATGCGTTCTGTAACTGCTCTGCATCTGCTCCGCACTTGGTGTGAACAAGCCGTCATAGTTCCCAAATGGACCAAGCATGATTACTTCTGGTCACTGTGGTGAAACAAGTAGATTTGTTGTGCCCCGGGGAGTATAACAGTCGTTCTCCCAAAGGATGGCTTGGTTGGGCAGGGAGAGCTGCCAGGTGTATGTTTTGGTGTCTCCTTTCTTAGCAACCAGCAATTGCTAAATAGTGACGCTGGTGATAGACAAACTCCACCTGGGAGAGGTTGGCTTCTTGTAGTCTCTCAGGTTTCATTAACACATTTCTCCCCTCTCTCTTTCTGACTTGTACCGTTCTACAGATGATGCTTTTGGATGTATAGATTGGGCCTTGGCTACATCTCTGCAGCTCTAAGCATATGCTCGAGGGCATGCTTTGCTTTATAGTGGGATGGCATGCAGGATAGTTGGAGAACCTTGCATCAGTCTTTCATTAATGATTATTAACCTCATGCTGCTTCAGAGGCCTGCGGTGCATCGTAGATTTGTAGCATGGTAAATAAATCTGCGCTTTTCGTTCCAAATTCCTTCCGTAATCCGCCTTTGCTGAGGCGTTTTCGGCTTCCTCCGTTTTCGTCTAATAGCCATGATGGCAAAGCACTTCTGCGCGAGAGCAAATTTGCAATTCCAGCACGTTGCAGTGACACATTACACGCCCCTCCTTTCAGCATGTTTTAGGTTGTCATTGCCACAGTAACCAGACTCGCTACAATGAATGACTTAATTGTGTCAGTTGCTCGGTGTGTGCATTGCAATGCTGCACGGTGGGTTTGAATGGGCTCGGCAGGTGTATTATTTATTGTGGAACCGGGACGTGTTTTGTGGTTCAATCGACCTTCGTTCACCTCTTTGTGATCTGTAAAAAAAAAAAGCATTGTGTAATCCGTACAGCGTTTCACACGCTTTGCTGGCTTCCATTCTGGAGCAGTGATTTCAGACTTCTCTGGCAGGGAGACAGCAGCGAGAATGCCAAGTAGAGAGGTGATTGAGGCCGTCGGCCTGCCCGGTATATTTCCCCTCCTCTTAGCAGGCAGCATTGAGGTGCTGAAGCAGAGAATCTCCACGGGGTGTACAGTGCACTGCATCAGGATGCCCAGCCCAGCCCGCTGATTGGTCTGCGCTTGCTATCACTGCGCGACCATCGGAGAGCCTGTCCGCTTTCAGTGCCAGTTTGATGCCGTTGTGGTGTTTCATGTTATCAGTTATGCCGAATCGTCTGTGAATACTTCTTTACAGCTGCTGGATGAACGATTTCATGACATCATCCGTAATGCCTTTGTTGCTTAACAGAGTGTTGACAGTAATGTCTACTTCCTGTATTACGTTATATTGTAGTTCATCTTTGCAGGGCTTTCGTTACAAGCAGCAATCTACATTGTGTGTAACCATCCCACATGGAATTGTATTTACTAGAGATATTTATATAGCGACATCAATTTATGCCGCACTGTATATACTGTGCATTGACACCAGCCCCTGCTCTCACAGTGCTGGTATCGCCAGCGGATGGCGCCGCGTAAATCCAAATCTGCAAGTAGTCACCAGCATACCAGGTACAATGTGTCAAATGCTTTTATGTAGACTTTAAAAGAGAACTATGGTGTAAGTGTTTTTCCCCATCGTTCTCTTTAGGGTCACGGGAGGACATATACAAACCACCTCCCCTGACCCAAAGCTCAGCTATTGCCCGTGATATACAGGGCGTTTGACAGGGTGATGCGTTCTGTGAAGGGTGATTACCTGCAGCTTTTTTTTAGATAGGTCACCAGGTCTTTCCTCAACCCTCCCCATTTACATGGGTTTGGGACCAGCATGCAGAATGTGATTACACATGTGCATAGCTCGGTTGTACAGACATATTATGGCCAGTAGCTAATTA